CTCTACACGCCCACGCCCGGTAAAAAGTATGCCTGTTGCGTGTGCGAGAACACCCTGCGGCGTCCCCTGCTGTTTGAAGAGTGTGGACACAGCTGCTGTTCCAAGTGCTTCACCGACTTGATGGCGTGAGTCGGAAACTGTCAGTTTGAACTAAAATCGTACATACCTCTCTCTCAAAATATACAGTAATGCCGGTACTGCCTAATATAAAATAAATGCTACTGAAACATAGTAAGTAACATATAATTAGTCATGTGGCAACGGTTGTGAGATTCGCATCCACCCATGGCAGCTCAAGGGCATCAAGAACCAGGGCAGGTGTGTCCTGCATATGACCTGTGTACACGTATGTACTAATGTATAATCCCGATCAACAACCGGCAAAAGGTCGGACTCGATAGCTCAATGGTTAAGGCGTTTGCCTCTGACCGGAGGGACGCGGGTTCGAAACTCGAGTGTGGCGGCAATTTCCGTGGCTACACGGGAGTTGGTACCTGCAGTTGATAACGCCTAGTGAGGCAGAAATATGTATCCTGTAAGTCCCAATGTTTGCCGGTAATGCCTAATATAAAATAAATGTTACTGAAACATAGTAGGCAACATACAATTAGTCATGTAGCAACGGTTGCGAGGTGGCAGCTCAAGGGCATCAAAAACCAGGGCAGGTGTGTCCTGCATATGATCGATGTACACATGTGTACTACTTAAGTATTATATAGGCATTACCGACAAAGACAGGCACGCTAGGATAGCTATTTCTGGCTTATTAGCCGTCGTCAGCAAGCGATAGCCAGTTCTACTGTAGCCGCTGAAATTGCTGCCACACTTGAGGTTCGAATTCGCGTCTCGCCGGTCAGAGGCAAACATCCTTACAATTGAGCCACGAGCTCGCTGTGTTGCCGGTTTCGGATCGGGAGTATATAATAGTGGTAATCGTACACCGAGCTGACGACGGCTAATAAGCCAGAAATAGCTATCCTAGGGTGCCTGTCGTTGCCGGTAATTCCTATAAAATATATACGTTACTGAACCTTAATAAGTAACACTATTATTCGCCGGTCCGGTGGGCAAGCTCGCAAAGGGCATCAGCCAGGATGGGCACGCCCTGAAACAGATCGGTGTGCGATTACCACTACTAATACAGTATTGCAGTCGGGTAAATGGTGGAGTTTGCGAAAGATTGATAATCTGAAGAAGAAGATGCGATCACTGGAGCAAGGATTCTTATTTTTCTGACGTTTCGGATTCCCTCGGGAATCCTTAATCATAGGTAATCGTAAACAGCCTGGAAATGCGCAGATGATAATCTCTCGCAAACTGGTATTACCACGTGTACAAAATCTGAAAATATTAATGAAGGACCTTTGATATATTTTTTACTTGAGAGAAATATAAGAAGTACTAATTATATGTTAAGAAAAATGAAAATTTCTTAATAATCCCAAAGATTTAGAGGCGTAAAACTAGTTTTAAATTGGGACAATAAATTAAAATCGGATCGTCAGTCTAAAGGCTAACAATACCACTTTATGTTTAAGGCGGGTTTGGCAGATTTTGAATAATTCAAAAGAACTTTTCTTTAGTAAAACGTTTTTCGTACATTATACCGTTATTGGATAACGATTAATTTTATATCGTCCTTTAAATTCCAGCATATTTTTGAGCGTTTTCAGTTTTTTCAGACTTTCTTCCATAAATGCAGATTCTGCTGGACGTTTATATTAAAACCTTTAAAATGAGATATTGATTAAGCGCATTTCCCGAAAAAAATCAATTTTTTCGATATCAGTTCTTATGAAGGTAGCCATGAGGGCCATAATTAGAAATACCTCCAAACAGCAAAAAACATTGTCGAGCAAAAGTACGTCCGCAACAGGTGTCTTATATTGTCATTTCTTAAATTAAAAAATTCTATAATAGGTTGCCTCCTTAAAAAGCACTTTAATTAGATATTCAGCTGACGAACCTTCATACACGTTACTTTTTTCCAAGGTAATGCCAAAATGAAAATGGAGATTTTCGCCAAGTATTTTTAATTTGCCTGAAGATAAGTGATTCAGTTTGGCCGCGAATGAAATAACTCACTTTTATCTTTATATTGGAGTGTTTTCCGCCATAGGGGATCTCATTCCGCTTTTATTCTAAGTTTGCGTATGCAAAAAGTGTGTACAAAAGAAGTAGATTTCTACATGAGTTAGATTTAATAAGATCTGCTTTCATCTTAACCTTCGTGACAGGTTGGTTACGTCCAAAAAACTCGATACGGTAAAAAACTTTTTTGTTACTGCATTTTAGTGGCCAAAAATTTACCAGGTTAGCAAAAACATTTCCAAAACTAAAATTGCCCCATGTTTCTGAAAATTAATGCACTTCCTTAAACTTGGTTAAACTTGCATTTGAAAAAATTTAGACTACATGGTCCGATTCTGGAAGGAATATGTTTCAAAATTTTTCGTAAATACCTTGTGCCTGGTGACAGCAACACACCAACATTTTACTGCAATGAGTTCTGTTAGGAGTCTAGCTGACCAAATGCTAGCAAACTTGCAGGCTCTCCTGAGGCGTCGTGCCTGCCGCCGACTGCTACAATGACTCCTTTGTCAACAGAGGACTGCCGCAATGTCTTTGTGTCTTCGTGATGACTGTTCACCTACGATGACCATAACCTGTGGAGAGGACACAGACGCACGCGAACCTACGCGCGTGCCCACTGGTCGCAGTTCCTCAAGGGCCAATTAGGTTCGCCATGGCAGGTGACCTTATTCCAACGCGGTTGACAGTCACTTATAAGCCATTGCCACCTCTCAGCCAGTGAGTTGCACACGGACTGCGATGACACTGCCGGTCCGAGGCTTAACCCTGAGACGGGACAACAGCGCGCTGGAGATCAGCCAGCGGCGAGCACCACCCGAGAAAGCAATTCCGGGTTTTGTACACAATGAACCCTCCTCTGGGTGGATTCCAATGTTACGCCCTACTTATTGTGTTCTTCCTTGGGATTCCAAAGGGCGTAATTCGATGGTGACATCACAAAGTGCTATCGTTACAACAAGTTGAAATGGATATCCTCACTTGGTCGCATTCGGTCTGTTATATGGTCCTTTCATATGTTGTGTGCAGTTGTAGTCTCAACCGCTCTTCGTTCTGTTTCCGGCCGAGCACCTT